TGGGCCAGTTTTATGGTTTAATTAGTGAAAAAAAATTATAATATCACACCAACAGTCAACAACAGAGGAGAGGGAAGCTTCAGAAGGTTTTGGAGGTTTTTTAGCGTATTTCGCGGTCGCGTCCGCCATTAACGAATCGATTCGTTATTGTTTCGGAAATCGATTCGTTAATTTTTACCATTTACGAAATTTCGTAAATATCGAACTTTTTAAAAGGAAAATTTTGTAATTATTTTAAATATCGAAACAAAAAAAACCCAAATACAAATCGATTTTAGAAACAAATTTTTCCGTTGTTACCCAGGCCTACAACTTATCACTCCAAAGCACCCTTCAGTAGACAAAAAACAAACACATAAACAATTGAAGGACTTCCATTTCTTTCCTTTGCAATCAAGACGAAACTAGATTAATTCTGCAGGAAAAATACATTTCACTGGATACCTGTTCAGCCCAGGAGAGGACAGCCTCTCCATTTTTATCCTCCTTAGCATAGCCCATACATGGTTATGGCTCTTAAAGTCACCAATTACTTTGGTGTCTATCAACATTCTCAGGAGAGGAGAAACAAAACTCTTTATTTGGAGGCTTGTACATAGAGGTAATTGTGATGTTCTTAAACTCTACTGTTATAATCTCTATATTGTTTTCTTCGGTGTTATGGGCACCGCTGGTTTGGAGGCCTGGTTTTACAAAGATAGCACTTCCATACTGTGCATGTGGTCTTTCCGCTACTAAGATAATTCCTGGAGCTTTTGGTCATTTCTGTTGTTTATCCCTGTGTGTTTCTTGGACATACAGCACGTCACATTTCTTATTTTGACATAGTTCATAGAGCAGCTGTTCTTTGGCAGCTGACATGCCTTTGATGTTGATTGAGATTATTGTCATAGCTGGTCCTGGAACAGTCCGTTGGTTGGTTGGTTTGGTTACATGTTGCAAGTTGCTTCTGGTCGCTTCTGGAGTGAGAGAATCAGCCATCTACAACAACGTTGCCCAGGGGACACCCGGATGTGTTGTAATCCTGAGGGGAGGCTTCTCTCATGTTCCCTCCCCCTCATGTTGATTCATGTAGGAACCAATGATACTGCTAGGCATACTTTTCAAAAGATCACAACAGGTGGCCTTTTCACCCCTCCTCCCCCATTTTAAAATACTGTCCTACAAGGGCTAGAAAAATAGTACAGGTCAATAGCTAGCTAAAAAAATGGAGTCAAGAGGAATGCTTTGGCTTCCTCAACCATGGCCTGCTTCTCCAGGAGGATGGCCTACTGGTAAGGGATGGGGTGCATCTCACACAAGTAGGAAAACACTTTTTTGCTCACAGACTCACAAATCTCATTAGGCACACTTTAAACTGGTCCACCGGGGGAGGGGGACAACAGCCTTGCGAACAGTACTTTACCCACAACCTCAGGGAACCATCAAAAGGCTAAATGGAGGGTTGCACAAACACAACAAGGACCAAGTACCGAGAGCACAATAATCCCAAATAAGCAGCTCAGGGGAAAGTATCAGGGGCTTACATGCATTACTAAAAAACCCCTAAAGCAGTTTAATATGTTTGATATTCGTGCACACTGAGAGCCCTGAGAAGCTATAAATAAGACAAGTCTCCTAAATCCTGCCCTAATATTGTCCCAAAGTACCCAAATCAGACATCAATATCAGTATCAAACTGTATGCAAGATTCTCTAATTCAGGACCCATGGTCTTATTATTTATCAAAAGTTAAAAATAAATCTTGTCACAAGAGGCATACAAAGTTTATCTTTGGGATTTTTGTACAGGTATCCATCCCTTGTCTTCTTATCTGATAAGCACAAGGAAAGGGCAGAAATTTTCCTCTAGGCGAAACCTGGTTTATTGCACTCCTGATACAGCTTATCAGGCATACCATCATAAATTGCACCTATAGGTTAAGCTGCCCTTCTGCTATTAATACATTACCGCAGAAACAAATTCATTCTCTTACAAGCATGAAATGGAAGGCATCTCAAAAGATTCTGTCCCTTTGCTACCCCCAGTAAAGGCAAGCATAGCCATAATATCTGCCCGTCTTGCAATAAAGGAGCCAGGCAGATGTCAAACAGTGGGAACAGGTTTCTCAACAGAAGCAGTTGATATGGGAACACCTTTATATCATACTATTAAACAAGTAATTTCCAATGTAAGTAGACTGAATAAATTTCTAGAAGCTACTGAATGTACAACAGACGCTACTGAAACTACAGAGTATCCCAAGGGAAATGTGCACTCTTAAGGAAAATGTATCTTAATTAATATTGTAGACAATCAAGGTGTTGGTAATATTGCTCAAAATGATACTTCCACTAAACTGGATTTGTGCTCTTTGGGATAATGGGAACTCTGTTTTAAAAAGAAGTACACTAAACCTCCTTGTGGGAACATCTCCATTTACTAACTTTAACAAGAATTTAGGACCTGTCTATGGACAGCAATCTAGAACGTCCTCTCTCAGGTAGCCAAGCTAAACCAGCTCCTTGGTTCAACAAGGAGCTGGCAGCGATGAAGCGAAGGAAGAGGAGACTAGAGTGTGTGTGGCGTTTGTATCCGAGCGAGTGAAATCAAACACGGCTTGATGCCCTTTTAAAGGCATATGCTGCAGCAATAAAAACTGCACAGAAATCCTTTCTGGCAGCCAATATTGTGTCCGCAAGGAACCGTCCGGTGGAGCTGTTCCGAGTCGTCAGAGACCTATTAAACCCCGCCTCTCAGGACGGGCAGCTCACTTTTGTTCAGTTCTTTGTGAACAAAGTCACTTTGATCCATTCTGGCCTGGACACCATATTAATGGCAGTCTCTGAAGATGTAACATGAGCACCTGCTTGTCTGATTTTGATTGATTCTTTTCAGTTGGTTAAACCTGAGAATGTGGACAAAATACTTGGAGGGATGAAAGTGACCACATGCATCCTAGACCCCTGCCCATCCTGGCTTTCAAAGGAGGCCAGAGGGGGATTGGCTGAGTGGGTAAAGGTGGCAGTTAATTCCTCCCTTCAGGAAGGCAACATTCCAACAAGCTTAAAACAAGCTGTAATAAAACCGCTGTTGAAAAAGTAATCACTGGACCCCACTCAATTCGTCAACTATTGTCCTGTTTCCAATTTCCCTTTTCTGGGCAAAGTCCTGTAATGTGTGGTGGCCTCACAACTCCAGGTATTCGTGGAAGACACAGATTATCTGGATCCGGCTCAGTCTGGCTTTAGGCTGCAGCATAGAACCAATACAGCCTTGGTCGCCTTAGTGGATGATCTATGCCAGAGCAAGTCAGGGGGAGTGTGTCCCTGTTGGTTCTGCTGGATCTCTCAGTGGGCTTCGATACCATTGACCACAGTATCCTGGGATACCTCAAGGGAATGGGCCTTGGGGGTACTCCAGTCCTTTCTAGAGGGCTGTTCCCAGAAGGTGTCATTGGGAGACACCTGTTCAACCACACAACCATTGTCTTGTGGGGTTCCTCAGAGTTCGATACTGTCATCCATGTTGTTTAGCATCTACATGAAGCCGCTGGGGGAGATCATTCCGGAGTTTCGGAGTGCGGTGTCACCTGTACGCAGATGACGTCCAACTCTGTCACTCCTTTCCACCTGCTACTAAGGAATCTGTTCAGGTCCTGAACCAGTGCTTGGCTGCTGTAATGGTCTGGATGAGGGTGGACAAATTGAAATTGAATGCAGACAAGACAGAGGTACTCCTGGTCAGTCACAACAACAAAGACAACTTTCTAAAGGGAATCAAACCTGCATAAATACAGTGGAACCTACCACAGTGCATAAAAATGAAGCATGTGTAACAATATGGTGTTTAGTTTGGCTATCAAAATATTAAATATCAAAATAGCTCACATCAGAGAATATTTTGGGGTCCAGAAAGTGCTTTGGCTTCATCAGCATGCAGTTTTCAATGTTAACATCTGAGAGGGGCAGTTTTGTTTTTTTTAAAAAAAAGCTTGATCTCTGGTTACATTTGTGTGCTATTTTCAAGAATCCATTTGTTCTGCTCTCTGCCTCTAAAAGCTATAGCAAAGTAATGATTCACCAGCTTAATTGTTGAGACACATGGTTGTAGTAAAGGATAACATGCCCTTTTAGACTGAAAACTGGCTGCCCTTTTGGAAACACGAACCAAAGGATTGTTAAGCCCCAAAACTGATTTTATGTTTCTCGTGTGGCTAAAAGTTGACTTACTGGTTATTGGGAAATGATTTTTCCCTTACAGAATTTGATAATATGTGGGAATGCCTATGTACTCAACATCTATATACGCATATAAGATAGGGGAGGAATGCAGTAGCAATTCAGAATGATTGTACAAGAGGGAAAAACAGGTTGTTAGTGGCGACTGCTTAGTTTAATACCTTGAGGGGAAATACCTTAATCTGGAAGCATGAAATTAACCCCCTTTAAAGAGAGAAGGGTAGTAAGCTAGACAGGAGCCAATAGTTGAAAGTAGATGCAACTGGAAAGAAGTTATCATTTAGAGCAAGGGAAGGCCATGTGTTTATTGAAACAGTGAGAAATATTTTTGAGTTATTCTGGAAATTCCTTCACCTGTCCCTGGAAGAGCTTATCAAAAGGTGCAGAAGAAAAGAAGAACAAGCCATTCATCTTAAGGTTCACTGAGAACTTCATCTAAAACCAGACTCTTGGAGAGCGAAGAAGAAGAAAAGTAATACCAAACAAGAGAGAGAGAGGATCCTGGCTTTTCAATCTTTTTTCCAACTAAAGAGTTTCTGTGGTAAATAAGAGGAGACAGTGTTTATCTTGTGAAAGTCTGTATTACAAGAGAAAATCTAATTGATCACTTTTGGGAACACAAGAGAGCTCATGTGAGATACAGAGAAAGTTTATGCAATGGCAATAAAACAAGAGTGAAGAAAAACTGTCCTTCAGGGCATCCTGAGACAACGCCTCTTTCTTTTATTCTTACTTGAAGACCATGCTTGGAGACATGCAGTAGGAAGGAGGTTTGAGCTTTAGAAAACAGAAGCAACATATCTGCTAATGGGAAAGTATACCAGGGTTGTGTCTATTTCTGCTTTGACATTCTTATCTCAGGTAAGTCACACTGGATCCTCACTTGTGTAGACTAATCTAGTGGAAAACCAGAAAGAAATGAGGACTGTAAGATGAATTCAGGTGTATAATATAGACTATACAAAGAATATCCCCCTTATGAAGAGGAAGGAGAGGAAATGCAGTTTATGAATCTGGCTACTTTGTGATGGTGGTGTGAAAACAATGTTATATTGTAGCTCCGTTAAGATAGAGAATGGCAAAGATTTGACAGTGGAGGAAGTGATGAGACTAAAGTTGGAAATAAAAATCAGTGCAACCTCTCCACACCTTGACTCTTTTCTCTTCAAAGGTTCCTTGCATGCAAATGCAGAAGAGCTGTACAAATGCTGACAAGTGAGTATATGTGTGTGTGTTTATGTATATGCACACATAAAATGTTATAAATAAAAAAGAAGATTGTAAATATATATGAATGAAATTTTACCCCTGTTTTTGGACATTTGAGAAATTTGAGGAAGGGGGAATGCGCTTTTGTCAATTGGCTCAGTATTTCTGGGCATGTAGAATGGACTGAAAATTTCAAAACCTATTTTTTCAATCAGTAGTTGAGTGTGAGATTTTCCCCGAAGACTGAGTACACAGATTCCTTTTGCTAGCTCTATTTTCTGGAATGTTTTAAGGGGATACACAGCATCAGATTTCCAATGTGCAGTCAGCGAGAACCAGTAGGAAAGAGAAACACAACTCTTTTTTTTACTTATTGCCTACATTTTTGCCAGGGTTGTTCTATGTTTGGAAGGATGTGGGACTTCTGGATTTTGTTAGAATCTTCATTCTACTCCCATCTTCATATCTGAGCAATAGCATTTTTTCCTGTAGTTATCATAACACCAACAGTTCATCTAGCTGGTAGAATTAATGATACTTGAAACATATGAATTTGAGAAGAATATTTCCCATTTTCAAGATTTCCATCACAACTTGTTTTCATTTCCTTTGAGCTACTTCATGTATGTCAGATGTATCACTTGGTGACTGCAGCATCTTCATAGCATGCACAGAAGAGTGAACCATGAATAACCATGTAAGGGTTTGGCTGTCTAGAAGGACTTGTGATGAACAATCACTAGTTTTCCATTCCATCTTTACAGGTGTTTCACGTATATAAGGGATGCATAACACAGTGACTTGGTATTCATTAGCTAATCAAGTATGTTTGCCACAAAATTAATGACAAGTCACTTTCTGTAGCTGCAGTTCCTCTATCAGGCTTAGCAAGGTCAGCTGAAGCTGAAGAAAGAATGTTTTTGGCTCAGAATGGCTGGAAGATTCTTCCTTTGTTGCTTAGGATTGGATATTTTTCTCCCTCTTTGCCTGGGAAAATGTCATACACCAGCCAATATAATTGATATTTTATGAATTGAGTTAATATTCTGCTTATCTGGGGGATTCCAGAGGGCAGCTATATATATATATATATATATACACACACACACACACACACACACACACACACACACACACATAGACATACATAGAAACATACAATCTTCAAAATTCAGCAGGAGGACAGCCGTTGTGATGGATTGCTTAAAGCAGTTAAAGGATGTGAAGTAATTTTCTTTTTGCCTTGTGTTTTACTGCTGCATTCTGCTTAATATCTGAACACTATCAATAAACTCCATGGAAGCCTCCCAGACACTGAACCAGTGTCTGACTGCTGCCTGACTGCTGTGATGGCCTGGATGATGGCTAACAGGTTGAAGCTTAATCCAGACAAGACAGAGGTCCTCCTGGTCAGTTGTGGGGCCGACCAGGGTATTGGATGGCAACCTGTGCTTGACGGGGCTACACTCCCCCTGAGGGCACAGGTCCGCAGCTTGGGGGTCCTCCTGGACTCAACGGTGTCTCTTGATGCTCAGGAGTCAGCAGTGGCCAGGAGGGCCTTTGCACAATTTAAACTCATGTGCCAATTGCGATCATACCTCGTGAAGTCTGACTTGGCCAGGATGGTCTATGCCTTGGTTACATCCAAATTGAACTATTACAATGCGCTCTACGTGGGGCTGCCCTTGAAGATGGCCCAGAAGTTCCAACTGGTACAACGGGCGGCAGCCAGGCTCATTACTGGAGCAAACTATAGCAAACTATAGGGAACATACAATGCCCCTTTTAAAACAGCTTTCAGCTTCACTGGCTGCTGATAAGCTGCCGAGCCAAATTCAAGGTGCAGGTTATGACCTATAAAGAACTGAACGGTTTGGGGCCCGCCTATTGCATCTCCCTCTATGAACCGGTGCAAACTTTAAGATCTTCCGGGAAGGCCCTCCTTTCGCTCCCACCACCATCACAAGCATGATTGGTGGGGACGAGAGAGAGGCCTTCTCGGTGGTGGCCCCCGTCTCTGGAACGCCCTTCCTGGAGAAATAAGACAGGCCCCATCCCTCCCCTCCTTTCGTAAGAGCCTGAAGACCTGGTGGTTTAAACAAACCTTTGAGGACAACTAGTTCTAGCTCTGCCCCAGACACTGTTGAAATTGACCATATGTTTTTCTCCCAATTACCCAGTTAACTTTCTTCTATTAGGCCCTGGAAATGTACAGCCATAGACTACCTAATTTCCCGGGCCCTCTAAAATCGCACTAGCTTGGCCCGGCCTTTTAAACTGCCTTGAACAGGCAGGATTATTTAAATATATGTGCTATTGTGGTTTTTAATGCTTATATTGTCTTGTTAATTTGATGTTTATGCTGTTTTCTTTGTATGTATTGATGATGTTACTTAGAAACCGCTCCGAGTCCCCTCAGAGCGGTATTTAAACAAAGTTTTGTTGTTGTTGTTGTTGTTAATTCATTTTAATGGAGCTTCAATTTGTCTGGAAACTGTGTATTGGGCCCCTGAAATCATTACAGCCACCACAGCTACGTTGCCATATATTAGATGCTACCGCAAGAGGTTTTGTATATGAATCACTTTGGGAACCAGTTTGTTGTTTTTCATTTTGCTGAAACAAAAGGTTAGAAGTCATGAAATAAAATGGTTAACATTTACAGGACTTATAACATCTATCCAAAAGCAAATAAAATTTCCAGTAAAGCCAATCTAAACAATTTGGTTACTTGTCAAGTCTTGAGTGAAGAAAAATCATGCAATCTCTTATCTGAATATGAGCCATTTATTTCTGACAATAATATTTTCTCAACTTCCTTTCACATTTGAAGCTGTTCAGACACAGAATGGGTGCAGCTCTGGTACATCTGGTAAGTTGGAGAGGGTGAGCATCTGCATGTATAGCTTCCATTTGTGATGCTTGTTTTGGTAGGGATGGGATGGGCACACAGAAAATGGGCATGAAATGGTGATTGTGAAATTTCAGATGAACCCTTAAGACATGGTACTTATTGTGGGGGTGGCGGGTGGGAATAATGAGTCAATAATACACTCCCATGGACTTTTTCTAATTGTGGATAAGTAGGTCATGTAGTAATTAAGAGTTATAAATTTGGCTATGGATTGGCTTCCTTCTTTTTGAAGGTCAAAATAAGTGAGGCCTGGTGCTGAAGTCGAAACAGGTCATTGGTATTCCTTGCTTCTTTGATTCCAAATTTTCTTCATGACATGCCAGAGTTCATTTGGTTCTTTCATAGTTTTTCTCTCCTCAATTACACTAAGTAACACAATTTTTGTTCCTGGGTTATTAATGTCATTTCCAGATTAGTGCTACCATAAAAACATGGGGAAACTACAAAAACTTGAGACATCCTGTAGCACATTTTGCTATAGTTATTCAATGAATATCTTAAAGAGTCTCAATCAATTCAAGATAGTTTATGGCAGTTACAAAAATGAAGCTTCAAGGGTATAACAACTACTTTCAAAGTAAGTTCTGCACAATTAAACAGGAAATAACACTTTCAAACCAGGAACAGACATTTATTTCAAATTTTGTTACATAGTGTTACAAATATCAGTAAAACACTACACAGAAATATTCATCATGCATCATGAAGGGTACTTCTTTGTAGTGACTTACTAATATATATCTGTAATGTGGGTGGGGAGGAAGACAGAAGGTGCAAATGAACAGAAGCAACTATTCAGTCCTGAAACCTTTTTAGACATTCAAGTAAAATGAGAATTTCCTCAAAAAGGAAAGCGAAGAAGTGAAATTATATGTATATCTGTAGAACATATCTGAATATCTCAGGTTTTATACTGACACTTTTTAGTGTGCCTCCATAGTGTCAGGTCTACTTCAATCTTCTTACTTTCCAGGCTTGTCATTGCTATTTGTGGACTCTTCCTCTTCTGTGGCATAGCCTGCCTCTGTGTGCGGTGTTGCTGTCTTAAGTGCTACCATGCAAGAGAAGAAACAAATCATCCACCCTATGAGGTCACAGTCATTGCATTTGATCGAGACAGCAGCACCCTTCAAAGCACCATAACTTGTGAGTGGCATAACTGTGTTCAACCCGGAGACTCAAACAGGAGGGTAGAAGCAATCCTGGAAGGCAGAGGTAGTGGTGGATGGTCAACTCGCAAACTTAGCAACAAGAACTTCCTTTCATACAATCATAGAATTGGAAGAGACCCCAAGGGCCACCCAGTCCAACCCTATTCAGCCAAAATAATCTGGTCAAAATAATCTTTGGACACCATACATTTTAATGTAGTTGGGAGGCATTTGCTACTCTGCCTTCCACAATAAAATGTTTCTGACAGAAGGCAGTCTGGTGTAGCCTCCCTGTGGCTAGGAGTCTCATAATATGGCTGTGCAGAAGGTCCTTGGATAGCTCCTTTGGAGTCTGGAATAAGACCAGAGAGTGATTCATTAACACAGTGACATAGAGTGCATCGACACTGTAAAATTAATACAGTTTGACACCATTTATGACTATGGCTCAATGCTGTGGAATTATGTGAGTTGTAGTTTGGTGAAGCACCAGCGCTGTTTTGGCACAGAAAGTTAAAGACCTTGGCAAACTGCAGCTCCCAGGAGCCATGACAATTAAAGTGGTTTCAAATAGCAGGAATTTTAGTGTAGATACACCTATAGAAGCTACCCTCTCACACTATCTTAAGAACATTTAATAGGTATCTGAAAGTAGTTTCATTTATCAAACACTATTAAGTTATTATTTTACATCTTGGGTTGAATTTTGTTGGCTATTTTAGACTTTTTAATGTGTTTGGTTTGCCATTTACTTACAAAACATATTGGTGTTTTGGTTTTTTTTTTTACAAATCTTGTTGAGCAGCCTTATATAATTGTACTGTAATTGTAATTGTGCAGTTTAAAACAATCTGAATATTGAAAAAGCCCTTCCCTTGATTGTGGGTCAAAATGCTGTCTTTAATGCTTCTGTTCTTTTCTCTCTATTTTCAGCCCTCCAATCGGTGCTTGGCCCTGCTGCTATGAGAATACTAGCAGTAGCTCATGCCCAAAGTGCTGTGCAAGCAAGATCTCAAACTGCTGGAACAGAGACACCACCAGTGTATGAAGAAGCCATCCACATGAATAGATTCACTGTGGCCAGAAGCAGAGAAAGACCCCCTGAGCTTCAGCCAGTGTCAGAGGAGAAGTAGACAACCAATGCCCATGAAACCAAATGAGTATAGCCAATAGGGGTGTGCAAATGTTCTTTTTAAATTAGTTTTTCAGAGCAAATTTGTTAGTGCATACGAATCAATATTAGAAACATGCAGGAAAGGTGTGTGTGTGTATGTGGGGTGGGGGCAGATTTAAGAATCGAGACACTCACCAATCATTTTTGTTAAGATTCTGTAATGTTTGGATGTCTCCCGAGGTCAGTTTAATTTTCAGTATAAGCATTAAGCAACTTTGGTAAAGCCAAGAAAATATAAAGTGTTTTAAAAACCAATCCTTTATCTTTCGCCCTATCTCCATAAGCAAATATACTGGGGGCGAGACTAGCAAACTTGGGTTCTACCCAAGTCTGCTAATCCCGCCCCCAGTATCTTTGCTGATAGCCAGAAAGAGACTTGGCAGCCTTTGGGGCGAATCTTCTACAGACTCTTCTATTTTTGTAGTTAAATGTAGTGTGATGTAATTTTGAATACTGTAATTTTCTAGTTATACAGTGCAACAAATAATTTCATGAAGAATGCAATGTACAAGTTCATAGTAAATGTGACAAGAAAAAAAACCTGAAATATGTGTTTCTTCTCTATCCTGTACACTTTACACTGACAGATGCATCATCCTCATTTTGAAATCCAGCAGGACATTCCATGAGAGCCATGCCATGTCAACATGTTTTCAAATTTTATGCCCATTTTCTTTTCCATTTGGAAAAAAAATAATGAAAACTATCAAAATGCGACCAGGTTAATTCAACAAGATATTTTTAAAACTTGGAATGAGTAACTGCAACCACTCAATTTTAACTACTGTAATGAGCAATGGGAACAGTGACTATTTAAACCTAATTTTCCAAGTCCTGAGAAATGTGGCTGGAGAATCTCAAAGAATACATTCAAGTAGGTAACAGTACTGTCAGGAAATAGTGTTGTCCTCCACACAAGACAAAAATTATTATTCAAATACAATGTTTTAACTGTAATATTAGTTTAATTATTAGACCATAGGTCTTTCACATACTGGACAAACAAATAAATACATTAAAACCAGATTATTAATACAATACAAAATACACCATTAAAACACAATATAAACCATTAAAATGCTACATAAATCAATGGCGAGCTGCACCCATAAAATACTACCAGAGGCGGCCCTAGGTAATTTTCAACGGTAAGCAAACAGTATTTTGCCCCCCCCCCCCTGCCCCAACCAATCACTAATATATATTTTCTGTTCGTCATGGGAGTTCTGTGTGCCATATTTGGTTCAATTCCATCATTGGTGAAGTTCAGAATGCTCTTTGATTGTAAGCGAACTATACATCCCAGTAACTACAACTCGCACATGTCAAGGTCTATTTTCCCCCAAGAGCACCTCAAAAGCGCCCCTGGGCAAAATCAACTATACTGCAAATACTTACATTGCATAATGGGTTGAACCGCCCCTGAATACTACATATGAACTAGCTTATGCATAGTTAAAACTGAATTTTACTTCATTTCTATTAAAACTTAAGCAAGGAACACTTTTGATATAGACCACACTATGGTTAGATTGGGAGCCCCCGGTGGCGCAGTGGGTTAATGCACTGAGCTGCTGAGCTTGTTGATCGAAAGGTCGCAGGTTCGATTCCGGGGAGCGGTGTGAGCTTCCGCTGTCAGCCCTAGCTTCTGCCAACCTAGCAGTTCGAAAACATGCAAATGTGAGTAGATCAATAGGTACCGCTCCGGCTGGAAGGTAACGGCGCTCCATGCAGTCATGCCGGCCACATGACCTTGGAGGTGTCTACGGACAACGCTGACTCTTCGGCTTAGAAATGGAGATGAGCACCACACCCCAGAGTCAGACATGACTGGACTTAATGTCAGGGGACTACCTTTACCTTTACCTATGATTAGGTAAAAGCACTCCCAGAACAGTTGAATGCAATATCAGAAATTAATATTGCTGCCAGGATTTTTAGTTTTGAGTGGGGCAGACTAATTTCCAGAACTGCTTCAGAGCACATCAATTTCTGGCCGATGGGTATTGCATGTATACGAGACTCAATGTAATCTATGACATGTCACCTGCCCAGAATTCAGAAGTGATATGTGACTAATTGTCTCATTGACAGCTTGATCTACAGGAGTGCTCTGTACAAGAAATGAGATCTACATGTTATTGCTCACACTAGTAGCCCATGCCTGGCTTCATGTTGGTAGGCTAAAATTAAGAGATCTTTGGACTAACACCCAAAGATCTACTTGTAACTAGAACTGTTAGCTCTAGAACATCATTCAGGATGATATCCTTCAAATCTATCTCTTGGGATGTTTGCTACTTTGCTTGTGAAGGTGCAATATGGGCAAGTGGAGGAGGAAGGTGACTAGTCTGGGCAACAGTAGAAAGCACCAGATTTGTGGTATTCCTTGGATAGAACAGAGGTTTGCTTGTGAAGAAGATTTTAGTGCTTTGAGAATAGAGTACGCAAAAAGGGGAAAGGAAAATATTCACATGCTTCAGTTGCTGTTTTTAATTCTTTAGCCAGTCAGAGAGACTACTTAGGTCTTCCAGTGATTCAGCTGGAAGGGGCAACATGATTCTTCAAACTCAGAATTACTGTTAGGAATTCCCCCTTCAGTTCCTTATTTTTTTAAAAAAATGTATTAATTAAATGTCAGCAAAAGCATACATCACCAAAAGGAACAAAGATAAAAGATGCACTTGAACCAAATAAACATAACAGAATCCAATTAAATAATAACAAAGATACTACTTCCATGTCTTGTTTAGACTTCCTTTCCTTTGAGGTAGAGATTCTTTCTTAATCTTCTTGTATTCCATTTGGCAAAAAGAAAACTTAAATGCTTCAAACTACAAGAAAGGAGATTCCACTTCCTAACTGTGAGAGCTGTTAAGCAGGAGTGTGGTGGAGGTGCCCTCTTTGGAGGCTTTTAAACACAGGCTGGATGGCCATCTGTCGAGAGTGCTTTGAATGCGATTTTCCTGCTTCTTGGCAGGAGGTTGGACTGGATGGCCCACAAGGTCTCCTCCAACTCTATGATTCTATACTTTTTTAAAAAAATAATTTTTATTAAGGTATTTGAAAGTAACATCCAGGCCCTTAGCCAGGATTTTGATTCGGGGGGGGAGGGCTGCATTTTTTTCAGGGGGGGCCTGGGGGGCTGAGTTTCGGGGGGGGGGCTGAGTCTGAGTGAAAGAGGGTCTACCCTAGCAAACCTTTTGTATCGTTACCCCAATACCCCCATGCATATGGGATATATTGAGCATGGTGATCAGATCATGATATGAATAAACATAACAGTTTAAATAATGCCAGTAAGGCCTTCTCGCGGACCACCATGAGAATTTCGGGGGGGGGGGCCGAAGCCCCTCAAGCCCCCCCCCCCCCCCGGCTACATGCCTGGTAACATCGAAAGAGGGAGAATAATTAAAAGAAGATAGTAAAGTAGGAAAGTAAACAACCCCCCCCCCCATTCCCCCAGAATCAACTCTATGATTCTATACTTTTATTTTTATGTTCACGGAGACTACTACTGCTTCCTTATTTCTCCTAACTTTAAAGACTTCTTTTTTAAAGTCCTTTTTATTTGCTATATTTTGTTTACTATTCCCATAAATTCACCATTTATATTTTATTTATTGGTAATTTGTTTCAGAAAAAAATTATCTAAGAGTTTTTTTTCTTTCAAATTATTCTTCTGTATTCTTAAGGTATTTTGCAGGAAAAAATGATTTACACACAAAAAAAACCTTGCAAAAAGAATGAATTTGTGCAGAAAACTGTATTTTAAGATAAGCAAGATAGCATGCAAAACAGGTTTTCATAGAAACATATTTTTAAAAAACCTCAACTTACTCCAAAAATGGTTGCAGTTAGCCATTTTCTCGTTGGGTGTCTTGATGTGCTGAGAGAGAGAGGGTCCTTTATGACAACTATTGACAACTTGACAAGTATTTTTGACATTCTATTCTATTGATTAGATTGCCTGCATCGTGAAATAATATTGAGGCAATGTCCTTTTATGAGTTTGTGTGGCAAACATTCAGACAGAAGAGGGCAGAAGAACAACACCAATAACAACAGTAACAACAATAATAATGATGATTATGATTATGTCCTACTGATTTTGTTTCATGATTGCATACGTTGAATTGAAACGATGGAATACATACTCAAAATAAAATTCAATATGATATTAATAGTCTCCTTTCTCTGCTGTTCTGAACTTTTATATTTCCTCAACATGATGCTTTTTTCTTAAGTATTTTGTATTGCTTTTTCTGCATGATGAGCATATCAACATGTAAAGAAAACATTAAGCCATTTCATAAGTGGGTGTCTGTTAGGGTGGCCCAATCATACATCCTTTAAGGCAGTGGTGCATGGCCCTCCAGATATTTTGGACTTCAGCTCCAAGAATTCCTGACCAATGGACAAGCTGGCTAGGACTTTTGGAATTTGGAATAACAAACACCTGGAGGGCTTACAAGTTGTGCACCAGGATGAGCTGGTCAAGAGCCAATATGCCATTTGAGAACAGGACCTCTAAGAGTTATTTAGACTTTGGTGCCCAGAATTAGACACAGTATTCCAGGTCTGATCAAAGAAGAACAGAAGAAGGACAGCCATTACTTTCCTTGAGCATAGTCTAGATCAAGGGATTGAGATGCAAGACCTCAATCATGAAAACCAGGTTGAAAGCATCTGAGTAAGAATTAAGGGAACAAGGACTGTAAAAGATATAGTTGTGGTGTCTATTACAGACCTCCAATTCAAATGGAAATACTGGATGAAGCTTCCTTGACCAGATGACCAAACATGCAGAAAGAAGAGACATAGACATAATAGGGGACTTCAACTATTCTGATATTTTTTGGAAAACAAACTGCCAAGAGTCCAACCAATTCCTCACTTGCTTTGCAGACAATTTTATTGTTCAGAAGGCAGAAGAGGCAACAAGGGGATCCACTATTCTGGATCTGATCCTAACTAACATTGAGGTTCTGGTCAATGG